GCGATTAGACAACAAATAACAGATTTTGAATACATATAATATTAAAGCAGAGATAATTTTGCCTTGCTGATTACTTAAGTTTAAAGTATAAATTAAATTATTATGGAATTCTTTAAGTATCCGTATTACATGTTAATAATTATTAATTATTTATGTATAATTTTATATTTATAAACTTATTAGCCATGAACTTAGTTATAATTGTTGTAATACTATAATTAAATACGTATTATATTAAATTATAATGAATTACAAAAGACAATTACCGATCAATTTTCATATTCATATTTTAAATTAAACATGAAAAATAATGATTTACCTTCTTTAGAACGGACTTTTCAGATGGTGTTTATCGGTTTTTTTGTGGTGATGTAACAATCGGGTAGTAATGATTGTTGTTTTTAGTCTGCTGGACTATGTTTTAAAAAACAAATTTTTGATATCACGCCATAAAATTAATCTCTATTAAATTAACTACAAATTACAGAAGAATGCAATTTTACTCCTAGTTTTCCATATTGGTACTTTTGAAAACAACAATTACACTTTTGTAAATGTTATACATACTATCAAGCATTATTCAAAAACAGTACATCATAAAACAAATATTTTATTAGTACCTAACGGTTACATATTATTAAAAATATTAAAATAAGTTAAAAATAATATTGCAACTATTTTTGTATAAAATAATTATGTACCAATTTTATTATTATAGGTAAAAAATAAAAAGTTAATTTATGATTTGGATATTTTGAAATAATTATTATTACTATCATATTATGGAATAGAAAAGAATCGTTTGTAACCAAAATGATACTTCTATAAAATTAAAATATTATAATCTTTAAGGATAACGAATAAAGTCCTTTTTGATATTGGGAAACTAGCTGGTCCTATTGATTTATTGCCAATGGTAGTTCATTCAACATTCGTTTATTAACAAATTATCTTTTCATCATCATCCGAATCTAAAGAATTCCAGAGGACAATGAACAGAAGCCGGTTCTCTTTACGTTTTCACAAAATTCAACTATCTAAATTATATATTTATATGTGTGTGTGATGGGAAAAATTATTCTCGTATTCCTTTGGATGACCTTGATATCCAAATTTTATTTATTTTTTTAATTATGACTGGAAATTTATGTTACTAATACCAAATAATTTAAATTATACTTATATAAAATACAAACATTAAAATATGTACTATATTAAATTTAGTTCTTTATTGTAAAAAAATTGTAATTGATGTTTATACATAATTATTTTTCTGACATCATACTTCAAACAAATAGTAGATCACTCATTAATTTTATTTCTTATCGAAATATACGTTTTAAAGGAGATAAAAACAATTAAATAATTTATATCCAAATAATAATATATAGTATTTTCTGAAGTATACATAGCATAGTAGCATGGCATAAAGTTATTTATAATGTAAACAAGTGTATTTAGGAACAATATAGATTTTATCATCCAAAAATAATTCAAATAACATTAACAAAATAATTCAAATTTAAAATAAAATACTACTATAGATTAAAAATAAAAACTATTTCACTAAAGGATAACCAAGAATGGCGCCTGTCTGTAGACATACTTATAATTCAGGAAAGTCAACATTACAATAAATGTAAATTGAAAAACATCCAAATGCCAGAATTGGATAGTTTACGTTTCATGAGTTGTAGTTAAATTATGAGCTAAAACTGAAAGTAAAGATAAACCATTACACTTGAATAACGGTTTTAATTTTTTAGTGACGTTGGCTCATCATTTTTAAAAACCAAAAAACTTTACTTAGTCCAATTTATTAAAATTAAAATGTATATTATATCTAGTTATTTTTTAAACACTCAGAGAGGTAAAAAATGTTTTAATTGCATAGTTTTATAAAAATTAGTAAAAATGATTAAAATTAAATATCAATTTCCGAACTGAAAATAATTAAAATGAGACTTTCCTACCCGAGATAAAGTTTAAAATATACAAAACTATACTACTTATCAAAAGAAAATTAGCCTCTTTAAAAACAAAAAAAATATATAAAAAGCCATCATTTCGAAGGATTAAGTTGACACAACTATTAAAATAGAACGTACCAACATTTTTTTCAGAGATAGTCAAATTAATAGGAAATTTGAACCTAATATATAATATATATAATTTATTCAAACAATACAATGTTTACTTCCTAAATGTTTTAAAAAATAAAATAATTCAAAATGTTATACCTATGTATAATACATTATTTTAAAATTAAGATACGAAAGTTTAATAGACTGAAAATAAACTGAAACTTGAGTCTTTTAGTATGAAAATAATGACGAAAAATTGCACTAAAATATAAATGTTATATAATATGTTGACAATCGTATTTGTTCTTCACAAAATAAAATCTCATTTATTATAATTGTTGTAAATTGATAAAAAAAATATGTATATGTGTTCTATTCTCGATGTACTAATTGCAATGATTTAAAAAAAATGATTTATAAAACTAATTATCTTGAATTCATCATCAAAATGAAATATGTAACTAATAAATATTTGTTTAATATATTAAGTATTTATATATATGTATAATAATAAATAAATATTTTGATTTATGTAATATTAAACCTAACAATGTATAAAGCTATGAAGGTATACAATCTAAGTATAATATAATTTGATGTAATATAAATAAAATAAACTATAAATAGTTATATTTTTTTAATACCAATTCTGACAAATAATTTGGATTTATTTCAAATTATAAATTTTATCAGATTTAAATTATAATAAATCGTTTTCAAAAATATGTTTACAACGAGCTTATTTAAGAAGTACAACATACATAATAAAACACAATGCTTTTTGTATTGAAATGTAATTGTTGTTTTTTTAATTTATTTCTCTTGGAAAAACAGTTTAATATATAATTTACATTTTAATTGAAAGATAGTAGATATATTATATTTTTATTTTTAATTTAGACATTTATACCGACATTAATACTTTTTTGTATTGTTATAAATAATTAAATGTGTGATTTAATAAAACGATTAAATTTTGTTAAGCTGAGGTCATATTGAATATCGATGTATATAATTTAAAACATTATTGTTAAAATCGATTGATAATACCTAATAGAATTTAATTAAATTCTACTCACAAAGAAATTAGAGATCGTATTAATAATATATACAATTTGTGATGATCACTTTAATTAATATTTTATTGTTATTAATATCTAATTGAGCTAAGCCGAAATTTCTTTTAACTTTTAAATATTTAACACTTTTATTTTATTTAGTTTTAGATCAAATATCTTAAACTTTTAAAAACAATTTTCTTTAAAGTTCCATTAAAATCGTTATTGCATTCATGATAGACGTATTAAAAATAAACGTAAGATCTTGTGAACTATATTTATTGACATACTTATAAAACAGTATTATAAAATATTCAGTTCTAGAACCATAAGTGTAAACGTGTTAGTCAAGTTACTGAACAAAATATAATATTCTTATGTGTTAAAAGAAAAACTAATTTTTAATACCTTCGTTTCAAATATCTTCAAATTGTATGCCTAATTACATTTATATATTTTATTGTAATATGACCACGTTATGAAACATTTAATTAAGTACAAATATTCTAATGTATGAATCATGATGCGTTATTGAGTTAATACGCAGTTATTTTCATATTATGCTAATAATGTTAAATCGCCAAAATGTCTCTCTCTCTCTCTCTCGAAATCGTATTAGATTTTAAGTTTTTTTTTTAAAAATCTGCGTATAACATTGGTTAACTCGACAATAGAAATATATTATCATAGACAATTATTATATCTATGCTATAAATAGAAAAGTTAAAACAATATGTAATGGTTTAAGGTTTTAGACTTTTAAATATGTAATTGTGGTGTTTAAAAACACATTCACACACACGATTTGCTTGAAACTTGTCAAATTGAAAGATACCGATCGATACCTGAGGCGTCGGTACTGAAAACAGGAATATTCGTTTCCATCATATATAGATATAATACAACTACATAAAACACGTATAGGCCATGTTATTATTATTATAGGCCCATTAACCATGATTATATATCCGATTAATAAATAATAATCTCGAAACGTCGTGTGACTGATAATATTATATCTATCACAACACATTTGCACCTCGGCACGGCGGCGTTTCGATAACATGCCGCGTAAAATATTATATATAGCGTAATAACGACCGATCGTTTTGTTCGATACATTACATCCGACACGGCTATATTACTTACAAGACGTATTTCGGTTAATGGGAACGTGTGGGCATTGAAGATTTAGAATTTCTAACGAGGACCCGCGAGCGCGGTTCTGTTTAAATCGCGTTCTTCATCTTGTTGGTAGAATAAAAAAAAATTGAAAGAAGAATAAAAAAAAAAAAAAAACGTTAATATTACTCAAGATGACCGACACAACGATATAATATTATAATATGTAAAACGAACGATCTGCATACTATAATAACTTTAATATTTTATACTTATTACTTAGGTATAGATAGATAGGTATTATACTATTTTAATGATTATGTTTGCGATTATTATTGATAATTATAACGTAGAATAGCTAGTAAGAGTATTTAGATACTAACTAATTCCGCACTGCGATACCCGAGACAAAATCATAGTGGATAATCCGAGTGGTTTTATATTTTTTACCCTGCTTTTTAAGCTCGATTAAATCTGAGCTACGAACGTCAAATAAATATTTGTATTTAGTGCGCCAACTAATCCCAGCTGTACGAGTCCCCACTCGAAATGCTAAATTTGAAAATTCGACTCGTACTCGGGAAAATAATATGATCACCGATGTGCACCAAATTTCAAAACCACCAGTGCGATATTACAGTGTAGGTCGCTTTTACGCATCGACTTTTACATCGATACATATAGAACGATTTCAATACACTTGATATTATTATATAGTCTCGTAAATGCGACTCACCATAATCGTTCGTATCCTCGGCCGTGCCGTTCACCGTGCCGTCCGGGAACACCTGCAGGTATCTGTTTTTGATGAACATTTTGATTTTCCTCGCGGTGCCCGTTATGTGCGACAGGTTGGTCGCCGACCTGCCGTTCCTGGCTGTCGAGCCCGCGACCGCGGCCGCCACTGCCGCGTCGTCCGCCCGTTCCGCGGGCGCAGCGACGCCGTAAAACGCGGTCCGGTCCCCGAGCGACGTGCCCGACACCGCGCCACCGCACAACACGGCGTACAACGCCAACACGCTGACCGTCAACACAACACTCCGCCGGTGGCCGCCACCGCTGTTGCTGCTGTTGCAGTGCGACCGTTTCACCATGACTTTAGGCCATTGCTGGGTGGTACCGGGCAGGGTACCGACGGGTCAGGGTCCGTCGCGCCGGACGCCAGTGCCCGCTTCGCACGGCGTCCGCATACCGACGGCGGGTACGCGGTGGGCGGACCGGCGGCGATTGCCTGTGAGACGAGGATAACGCGCGCTGTTCGGCGACCGGTCGTCAAAGGCCGAAATATCGTACGCGTCGCGGGATCGCCCGACCTGCAGCCGAACGCGCCGCGGTGTCGTAATCCAAAAGCTCGACGGTCGACTTTTTCGGTTTTTCAAAACCGACGGGAAAAATTCAAGCCAACGAAAACTACGCGGGCACGAGCGTACGGCGGGCACAGATATTATAGATATACGCGCCGCGGATCGCGCGACGTTCGATTCGCAGCGCGTTGAGGTCGAACGCGCGAAAACGTAACTATATAGAACGAGTTAAAACTAAAAATAAATAAAACAAAATTCGAACGGATAAATTTGCGCGGAAAATGAGGTCACTGCCGCGTCCCGTTTTCCGTATAGGTATTATTATTTACTCGAGAAACGGCCGGCCGATCGGTCACGTCGTGTTCGTGCGACGCGTCCGTCTCGCTCGCGTCGTCTTGTCGATCGGATCACCATTTATTAATTTTTCTTCCCTAATAAACTGCGCGACGTGCGGTTGGACTGGCCGAGAGAGTGCGAACGCGAGGAATCACGGAATCACGGGACCGCCAGACGGTATTCAATTTGTCGGTCAGACCATGTGACCCGGCGCGCGCGTGCGGCCCACAGATGGAGCCACTATAGCCGGTCTGCTCGTTCGCGCGCGTCGCGCCGGCCGGCCGGGCGCGCGCCGCCGCCGCTATCGCAGTGCTCGATTAGTAGGTATAATTTGTTCTCGTCGCGGTTGATACGATTATCGTAAAGTATGTTGATTGTGTTGAAATCTTAAGAACCACCGTCAAGAAGGAAGAGTACGGATTTTGAAGCGCTGATAACCTGCAGAAAAAAAAAAAAAGTTTAAAATAAAGTAATAATAGACCCTTAAAATAATTATTACATGCGAATTCGTTTTCTTAATTGTAGGGTGCTCTGATATTATGTCTAACTGTTCAATAAAATGGACTTTTAACTTGAGCGCTACAAGCCGGTGTTTTATTTATATTAAATTTTGATTTTATTTAAAATCTGTTTGAATAATTTTGTATACCTACCGAGCACGTTTTTCTAATAATTAGTTACTTAAATCAATTGAAACTTCAAAAAGCAATATAAAATGTTGTCCTCATTTTTTCTTCTACGCCATAATTTACTTATAAGAATTCCATTAATGACTGATAAAGCTTCATTCTGAGCTGGTAAAAAAAATCTAACGCTATCAAAATCCTTAGGTACCCTAGTCTTAAGTCATAAATACCTGTAGTAAACAACAATGTTTTAATTTGTTCATTATTCCGACGTCTGTTTGTTGTATCGTAATAGTGTAATGTTATTAAATAAAATTTTATATAATAGCAGCACTATCCGTTTGGTTGGGACCTCGACACCTGGTACACGGTGATTTTCGTTGTTATTGACGCTGTTTTAGCAATCCTAAGACCGAGAATAAGCACGAACGCACGGTTATGACAACGTAGTAACCGGTGCTATGTAATTTTGTTTGGTATTAGGTAGATTTTGCAAATCGTGATTTTATACAAGTACCTGCGCGGTTCCGTGTACATGGTTCTTTAATGTCTCGTTTCTTATTTCCATTCACAATTATCCGTCTTCAATTAAAATTATTATTGGATAGGTACGATAAAATATACAAATTGAAAATTGAACGCATGTTCGTTTTTTTTCGTATCTAATATACCTTTGAATGATTAAATGCATTTTACGCTAATTTAGTCACCTATTTTAAATATCCCATGTGTAGAACTATTAAGAGATCAATTTAGTTTATCAATAACCTAATAATAATTGTCACTTTACAAATATTTCACTTAGTACTTATATGATGTGTAAACGGTACTACATTAGAAGTATTGAAAAAACCTATTGAAAAACGTTTGTTACGACACGTGTTTTGTAATCTATATATTATATAATATAGAAGTGTATAGACTGTAGAGGTACTTTTTTGTTCAATAAACTTACAATTATCAACCACGTTAATCTGTAGGAATGAATAGCTATTTTTATTTATATATAGTTAACCTATATAATAGGTATTGATTGTTTATTCCGGATATTTTTTGATAAAATTAATAGAAGTTACTGGAAATTAATATCGTATTTCATACATAATATTAAATTAGATGCAAAGAATCAAGCATCTATTGAAATAATAAAAAAAAAGTCTGTAAAAATTAAAGAATTAAATACAACTAAAGTACATTTTTACATAGTAATAAGTATATTGTTATTTACTTTTTTATTTAAAAACAGAAAAATATTCTGTAAGTTTTTTAAGAAAACATCACACAATTACGTATGTTTTCTCCATCTTAGTAACGTGTACAACAGTTTTGTATTGAATTGTTAGTTTTAATATTAAAATGATTTGAACTATTAACCATATTACTTGGAGGTAAGAACTTGATCTGTATGTTTTCATTAGTATTTTATGATATTTTTAATTCATAAATATGTAACATAACACAATTTTAAAATTCTCATAATTCACTAAAAAAATTAAATATTGTAAAAAACCAACTAAAAACACAGATAGGTAACGTTCTAACTTAAAAATTTAATTTTAGGTAAATATTTAATCTAATAACATTAAATTGGAACTACTGATAAAAAAATAGCTATATTATCCTTTTTTCCTTTTTGAACTATTACACGAGGTAACACCACATGAACATTACTTTCCATTATAATATATTATACAAATATGTAGTTTGTTTGTTAGATGAAGACAAAAAATTTGAAAGTAACGATCTCTAAAAGTTCAATTAATTTCTATTGGCTGAGTAAGTAGAATAGCTTTAATAGATGATAGATCAGTGTAAAAACTATAAGTTAGGAAGATAAATATTTCGATGAAATAAACATTTTAGTCTTAGGAGGATAAAGGTTAAAACTGATATAAAATTAAACTAAGAAGAAGTACTATTAAAGTTGTGTGCATTTGTAATTTATTATAGATTAAATGAAAGTGAATATTTTAATACTCAAGTTATAAGCACTTGAAACAATTTTTAAATTATGTATCTTAATAAAATCCTTTAATCCTTAAATGAAATCGTGTATAGCATGTGGATGCATATGATAATATTAAGTTCATGTAGTAGGTATTAAATTGGTACGTATCAAATATCCACTAAAAAACATGAATTGAACAATAACAAAAAGTATGATGATGAATTGAAAAACAATTTGTTAAATTTAACTGATCATTAAAATTGTATACTCAACTATGAGTTATTGATGTTTAAATGTTTTATGTACTAAAACATTTAGAATTTATTTAAAATTTTAATGGACATTTGTATATAACCCACCATAAGAATTTTAATATTAATAAAAATACTAAAGTGAATAAACATAATATACATAACATAATCAATATATATATATATATAAATCAATATATACATAATATAATAATTATTATTTATTAACAACGATAAAAATGTAAAATTTTAAGTACTATATTTAAAATAAAATTATAATGCAATGCAACTCTTACAAAATGTTTTTATTTGTGAGTAAATTACAGTTTGTTATGGAACCTACCTTTTAACAAGAATGTATGTATTTATAAAAATTATAAGTACTATTTATATCTTATATAAATTTACATTTTTAAATCATAATTATTTATTGGTAATGCACTGATTTTTAAAAATTAAACTACCTATCAATAAAGTATGTTTTAATTATTAATTATTTTACGGATGTTTTACCTAAATATATTTGTTAGTCTTATCTATAAATTAAAAATCAAATATAATTGGTAATAATTTGAAGTAGTAATTTTTCGATATTTTCCTTTCTATTGAAGCAATCTTATCTTTAATTTATACACAGAATTTATAGTTACACGTTGTTTACTGTTTAATCTTTATAATATTATACTTGATCCATATTATCATCTTATTAATAAATTTTACTTCGTGTTTTGTCAACGTTACTATTTTACAATATAATTTAGAACAATTTCAAAACTGTAGTCCAAAATTAGAAAAACTACGTAATAATGTTTGAAATAAATGTTATGAATACATACAATCATTTATAGCTGTAATAAAATTTTTAATTTATTGACATATTTTATTACTAATAAAAAATATATTTAAATAGTTATTCATAAATTTAATTTAAAAATGATACGTAAATTACACATTATTTGTAAATATAAAATTAATACTTTCATAATTTGTTTTCTAGCGTAGTTGTTGCTTTGAATCAATGTCATGTTACATGACGTTAATTTAACCAATAAAAAAGAAACTAATTTTTTTTTTTTTTGAAACGCCTTAAAATTAGTTTATCCTTATTAATCAAGTTCACGATCAATTCCAAAAAAAGTGCATCTTATTTATTAACATCGAAGTAAATATATATTTTGATATCTCAATATCTCAGGACTTTCATCAAAACTTACAATTTGTAGTAAAAAAAAAAAAAATAATAATCAACATTAATTAAGGAAATGTGTAGATTTACTACTTGTATGGTACCTATAACCTTGTTTATTTATAGGTGAGTTGATAAAAGTGGTCCAAAATAAAATAAAATGTATGAACTACCACAGACTTCAGAGGTAAGTAGTTCCCTATATGTATACTTAATATATTTTGTGTTCCTAACGGTAAACCGTCAAAAATGTAATAATAACTATTATATACGTTATAGCAACACACTGCAATAACCGTTGACAGTACAAACACGATGCATATAATTCAGAGGCAATCATTGCTAATGCCTAGTTATAATTAATTATTATGATGACGGCCTGTATTTGTGCTGGTAATATTATGGTATGCGCGGGTCTGCAAAATCTGTGATGACGTCGCCGGGATACGGTCTGTGTTTGGCCACTGGTCTATACCGGCGAACGTGACGTCGGAGAAAAAAATTCGCACACATGTCGCTAATCACGTACGCAAATTAAGCAATAGCCTAGCAATTGTCTGCCTCCCCGACAATCGTGCAATTTGCAAACTATT